GTTTGTGGCAACACACAACATAGGCCTTAATAATTCTGTTACAATCATGTTCTAACCCTTCTGGGGACCCGGGGCACCGACACATCTATGTTCTATAGCCTTGTCTGCACCAGATAGTTTGCAATGGTATATTTTTGTTGGGTTTTTTTCCAGCAGAAACTACCTTGACTTCACCAACATTTTGTCTCTTTTTGGTTTGTCTCATACTTTTTATCAGAATAATTACACCTCTTTGGAAGTGACTTAGCTCTGTTTCAGTAGGACTTCTATAGGTAAAAGGTTCATGTGACTTTATCTCCGTGTTGGCATAACTATACCGCTACAGTTAGTTCTTCCACTGGTATCATACAGTGCATTGCTTCACACCTGGAATGGCTTGTCTGGTTACCTATGTGCACTCTAGGGTCATCTGGACTGGATAGCGGAGATGTTGGGCACAAGCACCATCTCCAGCTCTTCATAACACTCTGACAGTCCCTCCATCTCTGCCTGCCATGCATCACTGAGGCCCTTGCCCTTGGTTTTAACAAATGTTGTGCAAAACTCAGCAAGCACCAGTAACACGAGGCAGCTACCTCTAGGATGCCTCAAGTCATGTCATGAGACACCTCCACCTTCCTAACAGTCTTCCAGATATACACTCCTCAGATTTTACTATAGTTAAACAGCACCTTCAAAGGCTTCCTAAGCCCTGGAAGCACAGGGTAAGCTGGGTCTCCCAGGATGACAGTTAGCATTTTAACACCATTAATGCCCATGGTGTCTGCCAGGAGCAAAAATTTAGCTTTTCATTGCATTAAATAAGAGTGAGTTTCAAAAGATTCTGGCTTCGTGGATGTTTTTCCAGGCTACTCCACACTAACGTTAGTGATCTTGCAGTGGTGATCAAACAGACCTTCCAGGACCATGCAGAAATATCCTTTTCTCTTGAACTCTGAGGCCTGGTGTAGGGGGCAAAAAATAGGTCTCATCACTGGCCCCTGTATAATTTGGGAACCCCAAACATTCAAAGGCATCAGTTGTTCTCTGTGCATTGCTAAGCTTTTTGACCCAGTAGCTCATGTACCTTCATCACAACTGAATGGTGGTGCTCGGGGTGGTGAGCTTTGCTACAAACCTCTTCATACGGAAGGGAGCGCTCACATAGGGCCCAGCACTGCCGCTCTGCACAGATTTCCAGGAAAGTGGCCTTCTGCATCCAGGTTCTCCAGCCACTGTTGGTCATCCCAGGTGTGCAACACTATCCTTCCCTAACACTCGGTGCCGGTCAGCCAGGCCCAGGAGCATCACTCCAGCAAGTGCAGCTGGTCAAGGAATTTGTCAGAGTGCCTACCTGGGGCCTTCCACTTCCTCCTCTAAAAGTAGCTGTGTGGAATCACACTGGTGATGGTGATCTGCAAATCTTCCCCGGCTGCATGCTGCCAGTAAGTTACTCACCCGTTTTGTGTTAATAAACGGGATCACTGTGCTTCCTCCATGCTGCGTGACAGCAGTTTGAAAATGGCTCTCGTTAATGAAAACAAGATGAAGCATGGAATATTGCAGGAGGGATCATAGGAGCTTGACTCCTGAGTCCCACAATTCCCCTATGTATTGATACAAATCCCACAGTCTACTGCAAAAACCAACTGTAATGCATAATGCTTAGTGACATTACTTTGGATCTTGGGACACACTTCGAAGTCCTTTGAGGAACATCTGTTTATTTCAATAAAGCCAGCTTCTTTCCCCTATTTATAAACTCCCCAAAATGTATAATTTTTTTGGGGGGGGCCACAATAATCTAACTACTTAATTTCCAGTACTGGTCACATGGGATAAATCAAGGCACTAAATGAAGACTATTCACTACAAAAACATTCAATTCAGAGCAGGTGTAACTGACACAGTGCTTCAAAGGGTGAGCTCCCAGCTTTATTAACACTAGATAAGATAAACTGTTTGCCTTGTTTTATTACTAGTGAAACGGACATCAAAACCGAAAACAACTAGAACTAGGGTGTGTCAGATGATCTGCGTTTGGAAGCCATCAGACTTTACTCCCACTACAAAAGGTTCTATTAAATGTAACCAGTAACAGATTGCGTCCAGATCTCAGCAATCTGGAGAAGGAGGTTGACTCTTGAGCCTACTGAATCTAGGATACAGGAAGAAAAAGACGGCAACAAGGTATTAAAGCTATTGATAAGTACTACAGCTAGTAAGGTACTATTTATTCCACCACAATATTTAAAGAGTGAAGGCTTTCATGAAAAACAAATTTAAAACAGGTTCATCTGACTTCAAAACAGTTCAGCCCTTGTGACTCTCAAACTTTTTTGTGTGAACTGAAAAAAGCAATATACCGAACTATCATTTCCTTTACACCAACAAAACCCAAACAAAATACCTTTTCATTTGCATAAAACCAAGTAATGAACAACAATTTCACTAAGAACTGTAATAAACAGGTTGAACACGTCAATAAAAACTTGTTTAAAAATGTAATAGCGATTTTAAAACATTATCTGTTTTATCCCTGTTTGTTTCTGGAGTTTTTCATAATTCAAGTGTTTCAGAAGATGCAGTGAGTTTTTCAGAGCCAGCTATACTTTTACTTATTTATTAAAATAGCATAATTAAACTTTTAAAACTAAATAGGCATTTCCTCAAAGTTGGTGGATCCGTAGCATTACGTCTGACTATGGGGGACCACAGCCCCAGCAAGTTAAATCTTGGAGAAAGGGAGCTGGGAGATGTACTGATGCTCACTATCAGATTAACTGCTTAATTTCCAGTATTGGTCACATGGAGATAAATCAAGGAACTAAATGAAGACTATTCACTACAAAAACATTCAATTCAGAGCAGCTGTAACTGACACAGTTCTTCAAATGGTGAGCTCCCAGCTTTAGTAACACTAGGTACGATAAACGTATAAGATAAAATTGTAAGGTTTTTACCAAAGCCTCCAATGTGGATGGAAGTGCTGAGCGTGCCTACATACACACACGCAGACAGTCACACTTTTTTTTCCTGTTGCTTACTGGCTTCCAATGGTTTGATTAAAAACATTAATGGGAGAACACCCCTCAGTTGAAAAGTATGTGATTAGACTTTGTTTTTTGCCTTTTACTATACTTTAAAATTAAACACTTTCTTGAGTTGATAGTCCAGGAAATTAGAGACTATCACCATTTTGATTTCATCATGGGATGGTATTTGGTCAAGGTAAGAAAACAAATCCAAAGAAAACATATTTTAATAACTTGTGAGATTTTACTCTGATCAACATCTACACATAGTGAGTATTGTATATTCTTGGATCAGAAATAGTATGAGTCCCACTAAGTGCTCTTGGCATCTTTTTCTTTTACTCACCCCTATCTAACTTCATTTGTGATATCAGTCTCATATTTTGTGATAATCCTTTGATTTATGGCATATATTCTGGGAAGTTTATATATTGTATTTTTTTCATTCAGTGCTAATTAGGATCCACTGAATTTTTTAGTATATTGGCAAATTTCTGCAACGAGGCGCTTTACATCCATTTCTACTAAATTTTCTAACATTGAATATTTGTAGCATTGTGCAAAACCCCTTTTCATGGAAGCTCTTGCAACTATGTCTTTATCTAATGCATTTTATAGTTCCTCAGCTATAAAACGACCCATTAGCCATAACAGCTAATTAAGGGACAAAATGCATTTATTCTAAGGATTCCACCCTAAACAGAACAAGTTTGTATATATATTAAAAAGAAGTAGCTACAGGATTCTTTTTATGTATCTGACTTGACTTGCACTTGATTTAATGTAACCAATTATGCTGCATTGTGTCATCAATGAGTTCAGAGGCACTGGGGCCCCACTTTAGCAAATCACTTAAATGTGTGCTTAACTTTAAGCCTGTGGTTAAATCCCAAATCAAAGTTAAGCCTATGTTCAGTGCTTTGCTGAACAGGGATGGAACTTTTAAGCTTTACATTGTTTTTTGTCTTGTGCTACTATTTGAATAATAAAAAAAAAATGCTGTAGTGTGATGCAGATGCAAGACACATCAACAAAATTGTCTAAAATTGATTTTAGAAGATTGTGTTCTGAGTCTTCTGCACAGATGTAAAAGTAGAAGACACCAATGCTGCATTTTTGTTAATATGTTGGGATCTTCATTTTTCTTAATGTGTTGGCTTCATCGGTGAAGAACCATAACACCAGTGGGTAAGAGGAAGTTGTTGTTTCTGTAAAAGTATGTATCTTATCTGTCACTGTTTCCAACACTGTCACATTGCAAGCTATGTTACAAACACAAGAAAACTGGAAATGACAGCGTTATTGATAGACATAAATCATAGCATTACAAAGTATATAATATAGCTGGTTTGGGGGGTTTTTAATTGATGTAAGCAAGCTTAGCCCTAATAAATAATGAGAATTTCAAATAAATACACCAGTGTTCATGACAGAGCAGTAATTAATTTTAGCCTCTTTGGCTATGGAACTAGGTATATTGAGACCACAGCAATCTTTTCCCTTCTGCAGGGCCTATGGGAAGCTCAGTTGCTATTATTCATGGCAGCTGCAAACTCAGTTCTCCAGCAGCTCCACTGAATTTGAATGAAAAATTCTAAAGCAGAATCTAATACACTCCACACAATTCCAATTGTCTTTGATTAGAAAGGATGGAGAAAAGAAACAATAACAATAAAAATGAAATTTCTTGTCTTCTGAAACACTAGAGTTATAAAAAGCATCAAAGTTGACTTTTAGCACACTAATTATTAGAGATGGACTGAATTGGACCAAAAAGGTTGGCTATCCTTGAAAATAAAGAATGTGCTGCCTATAGTTCAGATGATTATTTTATTCCCTATGTATCACCAGCAGGTCATATGGTTTGGATCACTTTTGAAACACGTTATCAACAAAACCCTATGAAATAAATTAAACCTGTCGTTCTTCTGGGAGCTCTTCTAGGATTATGTTCAGGCACCTAACAAACAACATGTTTTTTTTTTTTTTCACGTATTATTTGCATTGGGTTATCTGGCTAGTGGCAGGGATTCTGATACAGGTAACTAGCTAGATTGAAATGATTCAATCCAAGTCCACCTCTACTAATTACTTGTATATTTTTAATCTGCTATAATATTTTGCATACCCTTGCAGCATAAAAATATGGGGAAAATGTAAACAGTTGATGTCATAATACTCCAGCGACTATGTCTCTACACTTCACACTCTAGGATTTTGAGGTCTTCAAGCAGTTCTTGCGTCAGTGTTTGCAGCTCTGCGTTGCGGCTCTTTGACAGTGCTATGATACGTTGAAATGGCAAGGTGTCACGCATCTCAGGCGCTGACTTTGCTAAAACTTCTGGCTCTAGAATCACAGACTGGAGAAGCCGTAGAACATGCAGACATACTTCTGTATCTGGGTCTAGAAATGAGGAAGAAACGATTCCAGCTACTTGTTACATGCACCCTTATGCCAGGACTAACATTATAGCTCTACATCACCATCCCCCATGGACCCTTGGTAAAGAGAGAGTGGCTGAAGTTCTGCTATTCTCAGCTGCTGAAATGGCCCTTTGGGGCTGGCCGGCCCCAGAATATGAGAAGATATAAAAGTGGCTTAAAACCACCACTGCACTCCTCCTCTGTTCCCTGTGCTAAGCACTGGTTGGGAGGAACTGGTAATCAGGAATATTTTGTTCCCTTCTTCTTTACTCCAAATGTAGCAAATCCCACAGATATGTGGATTTATCAACAACTTTGTCAGTAGCCAAGATTTAGTTTGCTGCAGTTTCACTTGGAGCAGGATAAACTATGTCCCATTACTTTTTAGTCTGTTTTAAAACACTCATTCTGCAATTCTTATAAGGCTTTTCTTTATCTATATAAGATTCAGATTCCATTTAAACTCAATAAAACCTCAACTTTAATCAAATACACTTGGTAATAATATGCCAGTCCTCCAAATACTAAAAATTCAGTTGACACAAACTGAAGTGTTGGGTATATTTGATTTTATGGTAGTGGGACAAATCTGGTTTAACTGCTTAGGAACATGTCAGAAAAACATGCCTAGGAAGATGTACAATTAATTTTGATTTCCATTGTTAAAGGAACAGGATGCATTTATTACTACTGAAATATTAGGAGTGATTCTATTTTAATTATACCCAATAGTTTGTTGGGTGTCTGTTTGTGCCTTTGCTAGACGCACCCAGTAGGTGACTCCTTTTATTTTTATATTCTCTATTTTGCATATTCCAAACTTGTATTTCTAATGTATTTTATAGCTAAAATATCTATTTATTTGTATCAGGTGCTGTGCATTTCTACTATGTCTGTCACTGTCATACCTAGATTTCAGGAAAGCCTTTGACAGAGTTGTACGAAAATGTTGAGAAAAATTAATTGAAATTAATTTGCATACCAGCATTGCCATGGGGACTGAAGTCTTGCAGTAGGACCACAAATCAAGTGCAGTGATAAATCACAATGCCTTGAGCTGGAAGGAGGTGTCAAGTGGGCTAGAACAAGGTTCTCTTATTAGTCAGCTTACTTAACACCTTTATTAATGATCTGAAATCAGGGTAAGCAGAATGCATTAAACTAATGCATCACATACATTAAACTGGGAGGTGTTGAAAACACCAAACAGGATAGGGAAACAGAACAGGGCTTAGAAAGATGAGAAATATAGTCAAAAAATGACAAAAGCTTTGTCTAGATGGGGAATTTTATGAAATTCCCACTGGCACTGCCAACAGTTCAGCAGAACAGGCATTAAGCACTGGTGGCTTCTTGCAATTTTAACACTATGTTAGTTAAACCTGACTCTGCCAGACTTCCAGTGTGACTGAGGACAGGTCACAATCTTTCTGTGCCTTAGTTCCCCAGCTGTACAATGGGGTAACATATTTCCTTTCTCCCACCCTTTGCCTCCTCTGTTTAGATCGTAAGCTCATAAGGGCAGTGACAGTCTCTGACTATGATCATGTCTACCCTACAGAGCCTATGTTGGCATAGCTATGCCAGCCTAGGCCCCTAATGCAGACACTGTGTATTCTTACAGAAGGAGTTCTTCTGCCAGCACATTAACACCACCTCCCAGAACCATGTTAGCTATTCCAACAGAAGCACTTTTTTATTGGCTTAGCTGCGTCTATACTGTGAGTTCTGTCCGCATAACTATATCACCTGGGGGGCTAAATTTTTCACACCCCTACCTGACATAGCTATGTCAGCAGAACTTTGTAGTGTAGACTAGGCCTATGTGTCTATACCAGTGGTTCTCAACCAGGGGTACATGTACCCTTGGGGGCATGCAAAAGTCTTCCAAGGGGTACATCAACTCATCCAGAAATTTGCCTAGTTTTACAACAGGCTGCATAAAAAACACTAGTGGTGTCAGTACAAACTCAAATTTCATTCCACCAATGACTTGTTTATATAGTTCTATATTTTCAGTGGTTCTCAAACAATGGATCGCGACCCCAAAGTGGGTTGTGAGTTCGTTTTAAGGGGGTCACAAGGGCCAGCGTCAGAGTCCCTGGGTCCTAGGGCAGAAAGCTGAAGCCCGAGCCCCACCACGTGGGGGGTGAAGCCGAAGCCTGAGCCCCACTGCATTGGGCTGAAGTTGAAATCCGAGTTTTTAAGTGAGGTGAAACTTGGGGTACCCAAGACAAATCAGACTCTTGGGGGTACAGTAGTCTGCAAAGGTTGAGAACCACTGGTCTATACAGTGATTAGCATAATGGAGGCCTCATCTCATCATGTTTTCTGCTTGCTACCAAATACTGTGTCACCTTAAGTGAGTCATTTATGGCAACATTTCCAAAACTGTCCCTTAATTTTGGGTGATCAGCTTGAAAACAACTAGAGGCCTGATTTTCAGAATGCTGAGCACACACAACTCCAGCTGAAGTCACAGAGAACTGCAGCTACTCTGCACCGCTGAAAGCACCCACAAATTAGGCTACCCATACTTAGTGGATACTCTTAAAAATACAGGCCACAATCCAACATTTTCAGAAGTTTTTATTTTTCTGATTGTAAATCTATCCAAAATAAGAGAAAAAGATTGTAAATTTGTCTTCAATTTTTGTCTTTAGGCTTCTAAGACTTTATTGTTTTATTTCTGGCAAAATTGAGATTGAAATCCAAACACATACATTTCAAAAAGAATATGACAAAGCCAACTGTTCTCTCTAACACAGGACCAGGTTCTGCTACCTTTACTTGTGTTGAACATTACATTACTTGCAATGGGGCTGTCGTGGAGAAAGGTGCTGTGTACTGAGAGTAAGGATAGTAAAATATGGTCCAGTGAGGCGGAAAAGAAGCTTATTGAAATGAACTGGATATAGGTAGTCACACCCCTCTTGTGTTTCAGTTTGCCCATCTATAAAACAAGTCTATGACTTTTAGTACCTCACAGAAGAATTGTGAGGCTTAGTATATATAAGTTGCTTTAAAATCCTTGATGAAAGGTGCTATGTTAGCAAATACTATATGCATTTACATTAGTATAATCTGCAAACATTAGAAGTGTGTACATACTAAGGAAGAGAGGAATTGCCTAAGGAGGTATAACACTATGCAACAAAGCTAAGGAAAATTATATCTAGCTGCACAATAGGAAAATTTTCCATTGAGATCTACTGGATTCTGGAAAGAGTCTCCAATGGCAGTCATAGAATCCCTATTGATTGAATCACTTGAATGAAGAATATATTAGGCACTTGGTGAATATAATGTTGCATCAGAAGAGGTATGGATAAGATAAACTCAGTATCTCTCGTCTCTGATTTCTATTGTTCTACATGTATTGCAAGACACTTAGAGTTACACAAATGGATACATGTTAAAACACACACATATACACCTTATCATGACTGTATATGGTTTTGGAAATCTGCTTGTTAGGGATATTTATATTTTTGTAATTTTCTACTTGGATTTTAAAATATACTCAAACAGCCCCTTTTTTGGTCTCCCCAGTTTCATTAAGGATTTCTCTTTTAAAAGAAAATAAATTCTAGTAGAGAACAGGCAAAAGGAAAGTAAGTATGGCAGGGATCTTCATTACTCAGCATTATCTTTATTTCAATAGCTTCCAGAATTAGTCATTTCTATACTAGTTGAGTAATTTTATTTACATGAAGCCAAGAAAAGTCTTAGCTGTAATCATATCACTTCATCACATCCTCTCAACAACAGGCGCACACATTTCTTAGCTAACATATTCAAGTCTAATCATTAAGGGGAAAAAATGTAGCTATTTGTCTTGGTCTTGAACAGCATGTGTAATATAAGCCTACCACAGTTATAACATACTGATGCAATTTTAGCAAGGAACTGTGCTGACGTTTTGTTAACTGCTAACAAGGTACTGTCTGATGTCACTGGCACTCAGTCACTGATAAAAACAGCTGATAAAGCAGGCAGATTTTACAGTCACATCTGTCATTAGGAGTGTGCTCTCAGATGAACTATTCCCTACAGCAGAGTTTAAGTAACTGCATTACATCAATGAGAAACCGCCTATCTACAATTGGCTCTGTGAGTGGTGTGAATCCAATGTACATGTGCCTGTAACATTTCCTGGCCAACCTGGATGCAGTATTTATTGTTGGCAAATGATCTGCAATAGAGTTTAAGGTTCTGCCTATGCCAGGACAATATTTCAAAAGTTTCACATCTTGGCTAACACTACTTCAGCACCACCAGAGTTAGCAATCCTGGGAGATCTAGTGTGGAGGGGCCACCAGCTGCTGCCCCCATTTTAAGCACTATCTCACTACCCATGATCACACTAGGTCAAGCTAATGGTGAGGCAAGCTGATGGCCCACCCATACAAAGGCTCCTTATATTGCTAACGCCTGTAGACCTGAACCAGTGTCGGCAGTAGCAGAGAGATTTTGAAAAATTACCCTACTGTTGATAGGGCCAAAGAGATAAGAAGAAACATAATAAACAAAGTATCTGCAGTGGGGAAAATGCTAACACATAAAGCATTTACAAAGAATGAGCTATGCTGCAACAAGTCCTAATATTGAAAGTTTGCTTTTTCTATGTAACATACCCTTTTATACTCTCTTTTTTTAACTCCAGTTCCTGTATAACTGATGTCAGTTCAATCTTCCCTTTTGTCAGGGGACTGTTTTCATTGCTATCTGAGGAGATCAGCCAGTCAGCAATCCTATCTGTTAGGACCAAAACTAGTTTCCACGTGTAAATCCATTAAAGCCAATAGTGCTACTTTAGATTCACATCAGAGCTGAGAATGTGTCCCATCTCCTCCACAACATACCTGATTATTCACTGGACATGGAAGTGAGAGTCCAGAGGTCTTTCACATGGCAAAGTGATGCACTGTACATGTACCTCTTAACTAGACAGCTGTTTAAGTAAAATCTTAAGCACAGTACCTAGCACACACTGAGACTTCGATCATGGCCGGGAACTCTGCGCACTATCACAATACAACTAACAGAACAATGAAGAAATAGCAAATTATTTCTTATACTGATGGTCCACTGAAGCACTAAAATATATTTATCAGATTATTTATAAGAAATCTTAAAGGGTTCTAAACTTAAAGACAAATATAAATTCACTGTGCTACTCATGAGAGACTTGATTTGGAGGAATTTGTTTTTAAGCATGAGGATGAAGACTTAGTCATTAAATGAGTGCTGCGATGAATGCAGTCCTGAAGTGGATAAGGGCACTCTTCTGAAAACTGATTTCAAAGTCTGAAGAATTTGAATTGTTTGAGAGTTGGCTACTGTGAGAATTAGAGAATCTAAGAATTAGAGGATCTGATTAATAAGACATTGAGCTAATAGAAAACCAAGATGACTTCTAAAAGAGGTGCTACCATGAGAAGGACCTGGATCTTCAAAAAATTCTGAGACACACAGATGATCCAAACAGAAAAGCTATATATTGGAAAAGTTTAGGATCAAGTCATGAAAAGCAAATATTGAAGATGGCAGGGAGTATTAGGAATATGAAGGTATCTTTCGTTGAGATCTATAGAGTAGAGATAGTCATTTGCAGAAACTTCTTGGATCAACAATAAGAGTTTTCAAATGGAACTGTGATCGCTTCAGGAGAAAATTGAGAGAAGAGAGATCTAAGAACACTCAAGAGCTTCCTGCCCTCTTTTGTTTTATGAAATACCTGAGTAATTTCCCTAGAGCTGAGGGGAATATGGCACAGCGATAATCCCTCCAAATTCTGTAACACCTCTGAGTCCAAATTCAACAGCACCAATCTTTTGGCTGTGTTCAAAAAAAGAAAAGTGGCCATAAAGAGATAAGAATGAAGGGGAATGTCAGAGTGTGATGGGGCACAGTTGCCCCTCATTAGTATGTAAGGGGTTTTAAAGCAACCCTGGGGAGCTGTGCAGGAGGCAGCCAATAAGGAAAAGGCTTGTAGTGCCAGCCAGTTAGGGGAAGGTTTATTGGAGGAGCCAATCAGGGCCAGGCTGGCCCATATAAGAAGGGGCTGCTGAGCAGAGGAGGTGGCAGTCACTCCCTGAAGGGTGAGGGAGAAGGACCACGGACAGAGTAGTGCTGGGTGGGGTCAGCAGAATATGAGAAAGCTCCAGGCTGACGGCTGCCAAACTAAGGCCCTGATACAAGGGCAGAGGAGGTACTAGGGCTGTGGGCCAGGGAAGGAGATGGTGGAGTTGGAGGAGGGGCAGTACATGGCTGTTGGCTATAGGGTATCTGGGTTGGGGCCCGGAGGAGGGAACCGGCCTGGACTCCCCTCCCTTTTGCCACCACTGGCCACTGAGGAAAGTGACCCATGCACGGACTGCAGTCTGCCACGGAGACAAGTTGCTAGAACCTGGACTGCAGATTGCCACCGAGGCAAGTGGTTGGACTGAGGACTGTTGGTCCCCTGGAAGGGGGGAAAGAACTGAGTGAGGCACAGCCGGAGGACTGTGTCCAGAAGAGGATGCGAGTCCTGCATGAGGAAACAGGAATGACAACAGGCAAGACACCATCTGAGGAGGGCGCACTGGCAACCACCAGCTAATTCCCAGGACAGCCAGCAGGAGGTGCCGCAGTGGTGACTTGAGCCCCGTCACACAGAGAATAGCCCAATGAATTCCCTGTATGCTCCTTTTCTGGTAATTGTTTTAGCCCAGGAGAAGTGGCAAATCTGAGTCTACTCCCAAACTGTAACATTTGGGCCAACTTCTCCTTGATGCTTAATGTGGTGATTAACAGAGAAAGGTGTTCTTGGTCTAGCACTTTGTAAGAGAGAAGATGAGACGTTCGTGTTGTATTCGGAGGAATGAAGCACTAAGAAATCAGAAGAGTCTCAACAGGCTTTGTATCAGAAAGGAAATGTATGTTGCTGAGAAAGATGGCGCTTCTTTATATTTGCAGATAATATAATAGCATTATCCAGGACAACACCACAGAGACACTGGCCTTTGAAAAGCGCTCATATCACACAGGTGAAAAGGTGAAGAAAGCCCTGAGCGCAGAAAAAGCTGCCTGGACCTCCTGCTGAGGAAGATGATGGGAGTGAGGGTAGATCCTGGGCTCATCCTCTGTTCAGTACTGTTGGTCTAGTTGCACAAACTACTCCACCACCTCTGTCAACTGGAAGCAGGCCTTCCCAGCACTCAGGAATCTGAACTGGCAGATGCACACTGCCTGGGAATCCTTGTCCTTTCTCAGAATGTAAGAATTTCAGCTTCAGAAAGTAAAGGTATTATATAAGCCTGTCTTTTTTCCTCACTCCAGACACAGATGAGCAACACCTTTAGAATGCACAACAGCCTTTCAACCTCTTTTCCCATCAACAATTGCAAATTAAATACTATCAATTGTGTATCATACTTTGTCTGCTTATGTGACCGTAGGCACTTTAATTAAAAAATAAAATCACATCAACTATCTAGCTCCAAGCAAAATTAACTTATTCTATCAAGGTCTTTTGAATGGGACATTTGGGAACTTCAGTCACCTTATTTTTGTTAGAATAATGACCTAAATATTAGTTTGTCATAAAGAAGAAAATGTGGAGCAATGCGTGTAAGGTTTCTTTGTACTGTAGGGCAAAAGACCATATACTCAGGTTCCTCCACTGAGCGAATCATCTCCCCCAACTATGTATAAATCTATAAAATGAGTATGATATTTTATAGGGGTGTTGTGAGGTTTAATTAACTGTGATCCTTTGAAGAAAGTTATTTGATAATGAGCCTGAGTACATAATTTGTACATAAAAATGTATGTGAGAGCCATGTAGCATATAGGAAATCCCTAAGTTTATTGAAATACCATAGATCAAACAACTCCAAGCATCAGTTTGATCCTTGCATCAGCAGGTGCAACTCCCATTAACTTCTATTATTATTATTTGTACTACAATAGCCCTGCTGCACTAGGCACTGTACAAACACAGAGACAAACCCAGTGCTGAAGAGCTTAGTTTAAACAGAAAAGACATGTGAGAAGAGAAACCAACACAGAGGAGAATTTACTTACATGAGGTCACACAAGTGGCAGAGCTGGGGATATAACCTATATCTCCTGACTTTCAATCCAATGCCCCATCCACTAGACCATGCTGGATCTTATCAATGGGAGCTGGACTCACACCAGGGATGCATTTAGTTGCAAAGGTTAATTTGTTTCAAGATCAAAGACTAAGCCTGATCTTACTGTACATACTTTTCAGCAGTTACATTTTTATAGTGTCTCATAGATCAGAGATATTATTTTAAAGTCCATAGATGCAAGTACAGGTGGCTGTCTTCCATTTGCTTTATCAGATTCCTCCCCTCCCCCCATTGGGATATTGCCATCAATAACTCTTACATGAATTGAATGTTATACACTAGAATCATTGATAGAAATACTTATATTCATCCCTTCAGTTATTTCCCTCTCTTTGGGTCTTTATTATCTCACAAATAGAACAAGGTCACAGATCTGAATTTCTACTCAGCTATTATCTGTATCTATTCACAGCTATTATCAAAAAGTCCACAATTTGAACTGTTGTAACAATCTTACCGTTCAATAGCCACCAAAGTAATGGAATAAAACCTGGACTTTCACTAATGTACTTCAAGCCTTTCAAGTTGATGCTCACATTGTACAGTGACATCAGCATTAGCCTAAAATAAAATTAAAAAGGTGATTAAATTGCATCTTAAACTACATCATTACAATAACTGCATCCAATACTTACGATGAGCATCTACAGATGGCTAGATCCTGATGCATATTTCAAATTCAATATATAAGATACAAGATATGTACTTATGTCCTGTTATATACATACAGCTACATGAATGCAACAATATGAGAGATTTTATTTAAATTAATAAATCAAAATATATTAATCATGTAAAAGTCAGCCAATTTGACAGCATTTAAATTCCTCTGAACTGAATGGGACTAGTCACATGAGTAGGGCAAGCAGAATTTGGCCTTACATGATCACTCACCATATGCAACAGAATCCTCTTAACTGGGACTCCCCAGAAGGCGGCCTATCATCCTGATTAAGCCGCTTGTCTCAACAAATGAAAGGGCCACTTAAAAAAAAATAAAAGGCTGCAAAGATTTTATAACAATTACTATACTGAATCAAAAGAACTAAATGAAATTTGCTGCATTTCATTCATTCTTCTTTTGATTTTTGACAACTTCTGTATTAAAAAAAAGACAGCAGCTTAGAATTTCACAACTTTAATACCTAGCTATGCATCTCTTAATCATCCGACACTGGCCACTCGTGTCCCTGTCAAACAAAGTTTATGCTAATTCTATACCAATTAAAGCAGCAGTCAATCATTCTCCTTATTAGGATAAATCTGTTCTCTGGAAGACATCCTGACAAAGGAGAGGTCCCGAATCTAAGAGGTGCTGAGCATCCTGACTTCAGTGGGAGCTGAGGTCACTCAACACTTTAAAGGATCAGGCTATAGGTAAAGCACACTCTAAAATAAAATCCGACAGAGAGGTTATTAAGAGAGAAAAGGTGAGACTCCATTGTAGTATATTGCAGATGATGTATTCCTTACGCCATCCGATCTTAAATCGAACTTCGCACCCCTTGATAATCTGTACGTTATTCCCTGATAACCTGAAACTTCTACGCTTAAACTCTGTACCGTTCACTTTTTTTTAAAACATCATCTTAATAAAATTTTTACTCTTTGCCAAACAATGTGTCTTAATAGCCAGTGGGACCAGGAAATTATCCCAAGCAGACACAATGCCTCCTGGAGTGCCATCCTTAAAGAAGGCACAGTGGTATCCTCTGCCACCATACTGATCCAACTCCACTGGCTGTTGTGGACAGGGTTGGGGCCACACCCATCTTTTTTTCATCTCACACTAAGTCTAGTGCTAGCAACAGCACTGGACTCTAATAGTCTTTGTGCTGAAGGGACTCGTAAGGACTGTGTGACTGGCGTCTGTGCAGAAGGTAAGGGGGTATTATGGGAGAAGACACACTTCTTGTTGCCCTGCTCACCCTTGCTTAGGCATGAAGAAGCCAGGCAAAATTCAGGCCCAACATATATAAGCCACTAAGAGTAACTGTTGCAGCCACAGAAAAGCAACAAGCCTTGAGTGTGCTGTATTCTCAGCTGACTGCCAATCCACATGTCAAGAGTGAAGGGGACGATTCCGGCCCCAGTTCTGGCAACATATAGGACTTGCAAGAGGTTGGAGAAGTCCCCTGAAATAGGAGCAGCATAGGACTTATGCAGCCTCCCTCATCAGCCCTAGCACCAGAGCAGAAATGGAGGGAGGGGACATACCCACAGCGCAGAGTACTCCAAGGGATTCTGGACTGCTGCAGGGCTGCTCTAATTTATACCAGGGGCCCTGGCAGCAGCCCAGAACCCAGAGGATGAAACAGTGATGTAAAGCCACCACTGCCCCTGGGCTGCACCTCCCGGAAAGTACAGCACAGAATCTGTCCCTGGCATATGGAAACGACTTAAGCCATCCTTCTTCAAGCATCTACCCAGGGCCCCTGCAAGTACAACTTAACACGACCCCCATAATGTGACAGGATGGGAACTCATCCGTTCCTGTATAGGGGAACTGAGAAGGATGCCACTGTTCTGCCACCCTCTGAAATGTGTTTAGGAGTCCTTCACCAGTTCAGAGAGGATCATTCCTGACAGTGCCAGCCTAGTTCAGTACTTGCACCCACCAGCCATACAGTACTGTCCCTGTCAATGTCTCCATGTGCTCCCCCAAACACCTTCGCATTCACACAGGGCCAGACAATTTGGTCCTTAAACTGTGGCTATACTGTGAAAAATGTATTTTTGACTCTTAAATTTCATCATGGATCTATTGTGCCTTATGGATTCCACATCAAATTTGCTCAGTCTACAGGTAAAAAGATTTTTTTTTTTAATTGCCAGCCCTGCAAATTCAATCTGCATCTGAGTCAAAATGCACTCTTGCCTTTGCACACATCACCAGCAGTCACAAAGATGATGTAAACCAAATGATGCTCTCAGTTATACCTGCATAACTTCACTGCCTCCAAATACCTTAACACCTGTGCAACCCCACAAGCCTTCAGTGGGTTTTCATAGGATGTAACTGAAGGCTTCTGTTGGCCTTTTTATTTTTGGTGTTGATGTCTGAAAAGGAAAGAACCCAGCTTAGCTTTCAGATCACAGGTTGAGTCTCTGGGACTAGCAGTTAGAAAAAACATCTTTTATTTATATATCAGAAAATTTGACATGGCATCACACACACATTTTTAAAGTCAAATTACATTTAATGTTTATGCAGCAGAATGAAAATGCAAACATTTACAACAGAAAAGGTTAATATCTTTGGACATGGTCTTTCAATCTGTTCCTCAATGAAAATGTCAAACAGATTAAAAATGATGTAAAAGGACACTGCTAGTTTGTATTTTTCTTTCGCTTGTTTGTTTTGTGTGGAGCAGAGGGACTGGCTGTGGTGAGCTAAAAATGTTGGAATGTTGTGGGGAGAAGAAGAAGAAGAAAGTTTCTGAGTTTTAAACCCATTTTGCTAGCCACTCAGAAGATCTAAGCCCAAATTAATAATGTATTATTAACACCACCATAATGTGGAAAAACTCTTTATGCCACTTTCAGCTCTACTGCTCCTTATATTCTCTCTACATAAACACACTGTTTTTCCTTTGCTCTTCTCCCTATTATTACCGTATATACTTGTTCATAAGCCAAATATTTTTGGTAAAAAATTGACGCATCAAAAAGCGGGGGTCGGCTTATAAACATGTCTACACCAAAATTTAATGATTTTAAACTCTATGGCAGGGATCGGCAACCTTTGGCACGCGGCTCACCAGGGTAAGCACTCTGGCGGGGCGGTTTGTTTACCTGCCGCGTCCGCAGGTTCGGCCAATCGCGGCTCCCATTGGCCGCGGTTCGCCGCTCCAGGCCAATGGGGGCTGCAGGAAGCGGTGGCCAGCACATCCCTTGGCCCGCGCCGCTTCCCACATTGGCCTGGAGCGGCAAACCACGGCCAGTGGGAGCCGTGATCGGCCAAACCTCTGGATACGGCAGGTAAACAAACCGGCCCGGCCCGCCAGAGTGCTTACTCTGGCGAGCCGCGTGCCAAAGGTTGCCGATCCCTGCTCTATGGAATCATTAATTGAATATCTAATACACTGTCGTTTTGTTTACCTGGAGCATCTGCAGGCATGGAGCCCCTCAGCTCCCTGTGGCCACAGTTCACCGTTCCCATTGGGAGCTGAGAGGCTCCATGCCTGCAGACGCTCCAGGTAAACAAAATGTCCCGACCCTCCAGCGGCTTACCCTGACAGACTGGGAGCCAAAGTTTTCCAACTGAAATATAGGGTCGGCTTATGAAAGGGTCATACAGTTTTTGCTATTTTTCTTATCCATCTTGGGGGGTCGGCTTATAAACGAACGGGCTAATGAATGAGTATATACGATATATTCCTCTCACTCTTATTTTTGTTATTTCCCCCCATCCTCCAAGTAACAAAAATTGGAAATGCATAACTTAGTCACCACATCTCTGAAGTAGCTACACTTATTTATAAAGTAATTAGTTGAAAAAAAACCCAAAATGTTTCAAACCAGTATTTCCTTTGGTCAGTAGAAAAGATGTCATTTGATTTCGGAATCTGGACTCACACTTGTTTCTACAGCTTTTACTTGTACTGGTTTCTTAAAAATAAATTGTGTGACAACCTGTGCAGGCCTCACAAGTTTGACTATCAAACTCTCTAACCCAAGAGCCAGGTTTCAAGGCACGAGTGGGAACAGAATGTTTTTTGTCACTTAAAACAGGTTTGTGATGACTCTTTGGTTTGAATCCAAATCATACATGAATCCAGCCACCTTGATCAGCAAACAAGCATAAATATCTGTCACAACACCAAATATTAGGAAGTAGTCTTCATCGAATGAAGAATATAAATAGGATCAAAGATGATCATTGCATTATGTAAGATACTGTAAAATTTATTGTAGCACTGCTGTAAAATTAATTTGTGCACTGCCTCTTCTAGGCTGTATGCTAACCCAGTTTGATGGACTTTATATACTGATATTCTACAAACTAGATGTCCCCTGTTGAGTCTTTGGTTTGGTTTGTCTGTAGGATTGACTTGCACATGTTTTCAAATGGCTGTTGCGAGGTAGCTGGAGATTACACCACCATGAGAAACTGTTTGGCAATCAGCTTTAGTTGTCTTTACAATAAAGAACTTATTTTTTAAACTCATTTACAAAAGGAAGCCCTTGAAACACTGAATGATGACAATATTGCCAAGTGTTCAAAAATCAAGAGCCAGCCCCCAAAGCTCATAATTTTGGCTTAACAATCAAAAGATTTGTAGAAGTCTGGGCTCTTTTTATTTGCCTTATGGATTTTGAGTCTTTAGAGCAGGGGTTCTCAAACTGGGGGTCGTGACCCCTCAGGGGGTCATGAGGTTATTACACGGGGGGTTGTGAGCTGTCAGCCTTCACCCCAAACCCCACTTTGCTCCCAGCATTTATAATGGTGTTAAATTAAAAACACTTTTTAATATACTTATAAGGGAGGGTCGCACTCAGAGGCTTGCTGTGTGAAAGGGGTCACCAGTACAAAAGTTTGAGAACAACTGCTTCAGAGG